AATTGGGGTTTTTAGCTAAAACCAGGACAGATCTGATAATGAAGAATCTAGGGAGAACTTGCCATCAGGGAGACATTCCTTAGTAGTAAGATGACTCAGATATTTATACCAGCTGAAGCACAATTTTATAGAGAAACACTATTCCAGTGATTAGCAGCTTTAAGTAAAAAATTCCCACTATTTTTTCACTCAACATCTCTAAAAATTGCTGAATTCTCTACTGTGGTAACACACGGTTTCAAAGAGATTAAACAAATGAATTCAAGAGTGGCTAACAAACACAATATGAAGATGCAGCTTCTGGGTTAGGAAGTCCTTGGGTCACTAACGATTACAAGGATAACAAGCAGAGAGCTTGTTCTTCATTTGCTCAAATTCTTGTACCGGACGCTCACTAGTGTTACAGATGGGCTCTCTAGGGTCAGACTGAGCTTTGACCTAGGATATTCAGCATCCTGTGTTCAATGTCTGAATCAAGCTGCTGTTAATGTAACACACTAGCCACTAAGAAATTAGACTTTTTCCAAATCCATTGACGTTTCAGGTTAGAGCTGCAGGTCAAACACTGCTGCACAGTTGCTGGTTTTTTTCCTGGGACTACTGAGGATACTGGCATTCAGACATGTGAGGTACCCATGCCTCCTGATGCACTTATACCCTCTATTTCAAAGCAGATGGCTCTTTAGGATGAGTAGGGTAACTTCAGACTCCAGGAAGTCTGAGTTTAGTCACAAAAAAAGGATTGCAAGGAGCTCTTGCTGGTTTAATGACCTGGAATTTGTGCCAGAGGACTCATTCAGTTTGAGAGTTTAGCCACGGAAGAGCAGTCAAGCTCATAATGCCGATGTTATCAATCCTCACCACCCCGAGACTGTGACAACCCTGGCATTAGCCAAGCACAATTTAGCTCTGTGAACTGGAGAAGCACCAGCTCTTAAAGCTGGGCCACTAACCAGTGTGGGAGGAAGTAATCCAGAAAGTTCTCTCATGAGCAGGAGCTCTTCCACAGCCAGGATACCAGCAACCAAAGGAGCCATGGATGAAGAACACTGAAAGAGACCTGACCCATGCTACAAGATTTCTGTTTCAGTTGATTCTGACTGAAACTTTGCCACAAATACCTTGCTCAAAATACATACTTTTAAGCAATCACTAACAAAAATTCACTGGCATAAATGGGCTCAGACTTCCACAAGCATAACCCACCCCAGTGGCCTGCAGCTTGACCTTGTGTAACCTCCCACCTGTGCGCAGCACAACTGAAAAATATTTGCTCACGCGAACAACTTGAGGTTTAAAATATTAGACAGGAACCACCTTTCCTACGTGCCATTCCCATAAGCATTGCCCCCACTCCAGCTTTGGCTAAGCAAAGCAGCACGCCACGAGAGCCATAGTCCTCCTCTCCTTCTATGGGAAGGTGTAAGAAGATGCAAGACCATGAAGTCAGCAGGTACAAAGCTTACTTTCACCTGGCCAGTGCACTTCAGACTTTGTAGTTCACAGCACATTTGCAGTAACAAAGACAACACAAATCCCTCAAGAGCTGCCCTTGGACGTCCACCTGGGCGCATGACAGGTCGGTTTGAGTTCTCCACGGGAACTGTGTAGCAACAGAAAGCTGAAGAGATGATCACAGATCACAGGTGATCTAAGGTAAGACAACACTACTGAATGGAAAGGTGAGTAGTATGGACCAAGGTCAACAGGCAAAACTGTTGCTAGGAAAATTTTTAATCAGGCAGACACCCGTTTCAGTGCCAAGGAACCCAGATGGGAATGTATGAGGTACTGCCATCTCCTGGCTTTGTTTGTGACAGCGTACATTAGTGAGAAGTCCTAATTAAAGACAAGAAGCATCAAAGATCAGTAAAAAAAGAGGAAGAGGTGGCAGGGGGAATCAATCTTGCCCCAAAACATGGCTTTCTCCTGAGGCAGGCTAACTCCTAAGATGACAGACGTGATTAGAAGCTGGGAAGAGAGGAAGATGGAATAAGTTGCCACAGCAATTAAAAAAATAGAAATAAACCAAGTAAAACAAAAATAACTGGTGCAAGGACTTGGAAGAGATCTCTCCAGAAGAGTCCAAGGACCTTATTTCTAAACTCAGTTCACAAGCACACAATGAGCCCCCAGATTCAGATTCTGAATTTTAAGTCTCCTGTCTTTCCAGCCAGGATCTCATCCTCTGTTTTACACACACACACACACACACCAAAAAAAAAAAAAAATCACATCACTCCTAGTCCAAGTTTTAGAAGTTACTGGTAAACGCTGCTTTCCTCCAAGTTAAAATACCTTTGTTTCCATAGTCAGAACTAGAAGCCCCAGCATCCCAAAGCTGAAATTGATTCTGCTGCCCTAAAACCTTAGAACAGCCTACTGGGCTTTATCATGTCTCCTGAAGTTTGAAACTGCAGGAGAACAGTTAAGATTGTATCTTTCCCTTTATCTTCCACCAACTGTTACAAAAAGTAGGACAGTATATGTCTGTATAAAACTATAAAACACTGTCATTTAAAGAAGCTTTCAGATACATCTTGACTATCTGAATATAAAACTATTTACCAATTGCATATACTGCGTAGATACAGGAGGCTTTAAAGGCTGTATCTCTCTGTCTCTAGAGATCTCTCTACCTCTAGAGATCTAGATAAACATATTTTTTAAGCCATAGAGAAATTATTTTAGTGACAAAGAAGCCAGAAAGCTAGCTATTCCACTGGTCCGTTATTCAAAAATAAAAGAATGTCACAACAAACTTCTCATGATCATGCACTACACACTGATATATCAAAAATACTAGGAAAACTGCATTATTATTTTTAAGAAATGCAATGATGTGTTCTTCTAGGGTACATGACGCAATTTATGGTGACCTCAAGATATACAGGTAGAAGGTACGGTTGGCAGACCTCAGAAGCTTTTATAAGGCACTGCGATGAGTTCTGCACTCACTGCAATATTATTATCCTGTTAGTATATCAAAACAATGAAAAGCACTCTTTGAAAAACAAGTTCACAATGATTTTGGCATGATCATTAAGCAAAAGGGCTTTAAGACTTTCTAAGAAGTCATAAATATTGATGTTAATTTAATGAGAGGAGGCAATCAACGATGCTTGATAATTTGCTGAATGTGGTAATACAGGACAGTATGGTGGATCTGTTGTTGCTTATTTCATTAATGATCTGAAAGAGTGGGAAAAATAGAAATGTCTTTACATTCAAAGACAATACTTAAGTGGCATAGTGAGTTCAACTGACTGAATAAAGATATCATGTTGTTAAAGCAGATACATCATGTTGTTAAAGCAGACATGAGGTATGGTACAATGATGGTCGTACTCAAAGAGTTGTGGTCAATGGCTCCATGACCACAAGGAGACCAGTGACAAGCGGAGTTCCTCAGGGTTCTGTTCTGGGTCCAGTGCTCTTTATCATCTTTGTCAGTGACATGGACAATGGCATCGAGTGCACCCGCATCGAGTCTGTTGACAACACCAAGCTGTGTGGTGCCGTGGACTCACCTGAGGGAAGAGATGCCATCCAGAGGGACCTTGACAGGCTTGAGGAATGGGCCAGTGCAAACTGTAGGAGCTTCAACAAGTCAAAATGCAAGGTCCTGCACCTGGGCCGGGCTAATCCCAGGCACAAATACAAACTGGGCACTGAGTGGGTTGAGAGCAGCCCTGAAGAGAAGGATTTGGGGGTGTTGATAGACGAGAAGCTCAACATGAGCCGGCAGTGCGCTCATGCAGCCCAGAAGGCCAACTGCATCCTGGGATGTATCAAGAGAAGCGTGGTCAGCAGGTCAAGAAAGGTGATTCTCTCCCTTTACTCTGCTCTTGTGAGACCCCACCTCGAATACTGTGTCCAGTTTTGGTGCCCTCACCATAAGAGGGACATAGATCTGTTGCAACGAGACCAGAGGAGGCCAGAAAGATGATCCAGGGCTGGAGCACCTCTGCTACCAGGACAGGCTGCAGGAGCTGGGATTGTTCAGTCTGGAAAAGAGAAGACTTTGGGGGGACCTAATAGCTGCCTTCCAATACCTGAAGGGAACCTACAGGAAGGCTGGGGAGGGACTTTTTACAAGAGTGTCCACTGATAGGACAAGGATAAATGGGTTTAAGTTGAAGGAGAATAGATTTAGATTGGACCTTAGGAAGAAATTTTTCAGTACGAGGGTGGCAAGACACTGGAATAAATTGCCCAGAGATGTTGTGGCTGCCCCCTCCCTGGAGGTGTTCAAGGCCAAAGGGGAAATATGTTGAATTAACAAACCTTATTTCCAAATAATGAGAGATCCACTAGGAAACAATAAATCACCACAAAAAAAAGCAGTGAAGGTTGTCTTTTTATTGTAAGGGACTTAAAACTAGCTCTTCCACATGAAACTTCCCAGCATTGGAACAGGGAAACCCAAGTATTGCCTAACGATTTCCTACTGAACTTGCACATTCTTAGTAAGAGAGAGCAAAAGTTTTGAATCATGGTAGTTAGAAAATTCATAGAAAGCTACCACAAAAAAGAACAAGTATATGAAAATATACATCAGACACTTTGCAAATGTGGTACATGCACCACTGGACTCTGATAGATTTCAAAGGAATGAATTTCCACCAGGCAATTAAATTGGTGCTTTCCCACCTGTGATTTCGACAATGTCATAACTAGAAACATAAAATGAACCCTGATAATTATGCACACATGCACACACACACTTGCTATCAGTGCCTCCCCCCCAAAAAATAGAAAAAAACAAACTATGACGGTAGTTGTCCCTACGGGTTTTCCTATTCTTTGTCCCATGAAATACTACACAGGTTTTGTCAAGATACAAACAGTTTGGAAAAAACCAAACCGATCATTTCCTTAAGTGACTCAGCCTTCTCCAGAAAATTTTGGCAGCACCCAAAACGTCAACTGAGATGGGATATTTTCAGCCTATAGTGTCAAAGTGACAACAGTGCCATGGGAATGCCACAGAGCTGTCACTGCAGTTGCAACAGGAGGACAGGAAAGAGCCTTGGTAGTATCTCTCTCCACTGGTTTGGAAAATTGTCCAAAACCCCACGAAGCTCATCTTCCCTTTCAGAAATAAATGAACAAAAATCTTCTGCTCTTGCTTGCTAATTTTGCAAAGTTTAAGGAACACACAATAGAAACCTGCTTAGAGGAGAAGTTTCAGGTGCCAAAATATTGCTCACGCTAGGTAAAAGAAGAATGATTTCAGTTCCGAGCCTGTGGCTTCACCTCTTTTCTTAGGCAACCTACTCATTTTTATCTTAAGTGCATACACATATAAAACATATATATAAGACAACAATAAAATAATGTAGATGGCAAAGTTAAGCACTCAAAATGATAAATATAAGGCTGACTAAGCATTATCACATTAAAATTAATCACAAATTACTCTTTAGAAAGGCCTTTTTCAATGCTTTATTTGGTGCTCAAAATGCACATGTAGAGACAGAATTATGACTGTACATAATGAGCTCCCTTAAACTCTTCGGGATAAGGAAAATTTCCAGCTGACATGGATCCAACAATCTACCACTGTTGCAAATCTCTACACTATGAAGACTGTATAAGATAGAGGAAGTTTTTGGGTGCTTGTAAGAGTTTATAGCTCCTTGCCCAGCAGAACAGTGCTTTTCCAATGTCTTTAATATCCTTTATTAATAGGAATTCAAAACATGGGATGAGGCCACCTGATTTACTATAAACTGACCATAGCAAGGAACTGTGATGTTAAAACATCATTCACACTATTTGATCTAACCGTATCTCCTCCCGTTAGTAACCTTCAAAGGGCAGCTACAAGCAGGAATTTGAACCTCCAGAGAAAACAGGCGGAATACGTGTGCCCGCGTGTGTACATGCGTGTATGTGCTTGAGAGGATGCTCGGGCTCAGCAAAGAACAGGGTAAATGCAGACTAAACAAAATATTAACAACCGGCCGCTACTCAACTTCAGTTTAAATAAATGTCAAGTGACCAGATTGGCTGGATCATTAACAACACATTCCCTGCTAAGCTTATTACAGCATATTATCTATCTGCACAACTCAGGGCAGGTAAATGTGATATGTGTATTCCTTGCGTTTGTTATTTTCTGGACTATCCACCATGAAGACTGTGCAGTTGAAAACCTACCCCATGAAGTATGCTGTGGAGCCTAGCACGACTCTTAGTGCCAAACCAGTTCTTCCATTCTAGCTGTGATTTCTATGTTTAAATGCCACAGATTTAAATGCTTGGGTCTTTGTACCCACCAACAGTTTTGATAAATTGTTATTTTGACAGTGATTACAACTAATTAAAATGCAAAACAGGAATATTTTTTTTTTGCATAATTACTGCTCTTTAGAAACCAAACAAATCCTACTAATTTTTTGTCATGTTAGATTCATTGCTTACTTCATGTTGCTCTGGCACAGATTTTAATTCACAAGTTTTAGCTTGGGATACATATACAGGTTTATATGTGTGCACACATGCATTTTAAGTACAGGGAACATCACTAAAGCATTTGATTAAGGAGAGTAATTGGAAAAAATTAGAAGAGTTCCGAGTATACACACAACAACATTAACTTATGAGCCTTTAAAAAATGCAATGGAAGCAAAAAACATACTGTACCTTGTTCCAATATCCAGCCAGCTTCCATAATCTTTAACCAAGAAGAAAAAATGCTAGGAAATATAAGAACTTTTATTAGTACATCAACATTGCACAATTTGAAACACAAAATTAAAACCCATGTTTTCAGGCTGTTTACTCCGAGTTTCTAATTCTTCAAGTAGAACAAGGGCAAGACCTTTCCAGGAACGCTCATTTGGACAAAAGTAGAGTGGTCCAGGAGCCAGAAATAGATTTAACATAGTATCAAACACAAACAGCTAAATATGGACTAAGTTCTGCCAAGCTCGTCTTGCAAGAACCAGAAGATTACCAGCAGAGAATTTTTTCAATAAGAAAAGCAAAACCACCTTATTGTTTGAATTAACAGGAACCCAAATAATGCCTAATGTCGAAGAGAAGGCTGCATATTGTTTTCATGGAATTCCACCACAAACTTCTTTGAGCAATTCTGGCAGTTCCCCCATCTGTAAAATGGGAATAATGTTGGGAAAAGATGGCATTTGTCTATTAGTGAATCCTCCAAATTCTAGCTGGTGGTCACAGAGATTCAAGACCACAAACCAGTTCTCTTTTCATCTTTTTTTTTCTTCTGCCAACTTTCTTATTTACTGATCTACATACAGCTCCTGCTAGTATAGTGAAATGCTATGAGCGTGGTTGACTGGTATTTTAATCCTCTTCCTGCGGAAGTTACCAAAAATCAGATTTATTTGAAACTACACAAAAGTGTACCGTCTCCATTTCTCACTCTACAGACAAATTAGTCATTATTTGGTTTTTACTCACTGTTTTGGATCATGTGAGATCCACAGACATGCACTGTACAAGGAAATCACACGAGGAATGCTTACTCCAAAGGCACGAAACTAAACCAGCACGTACAAAGTAGAACACGAGCTCTACCTGCTGCTTTGCAAAACTTTCTGTTCACCTTGTGGTACCCAGTGGCATTGCTGGATTGAAGTCAGTTTGAGGGGGCAACTAAGACATACTTTTAACCTGTAAGAATTATGTTGAGGTATTGTTCAGCTTTGGGTTGTTTTAGCTGGCTTGGTCTGTGGATGCAAGCTTTCTGAACATAGCATTTCCTAACAGCTTATTACAAAGGGTACAAAATGTCTTTTTGGATGTCGTTTATCTCCTGGATTCTGACAACTCTAACAGAGCTGGTGGGTAAAACATTTCTCCTTCTCCTTTATTTGTCAAGGGAAGGTGGGGTGGGTAAAAGGTTCAAAATTCCTGAAAAAATAACTAAGCCCTGCACACAGTTGAAACAGATATTCTTATTAAAATTCTTCCTAGGACTTTGATTGGGAAGCACATGGAAAAGTCAGAATGATAACTTACTACTTGATTTTTGTCTCTTATTATTATTAGAATATTGCTTCTTCAGAAGCATTAATTACATGAAATTCAAAGAGTGGTGATTGGAGGAATTTTATCTCTAAATTGTGCTAGAATTTCAATTCAATTCACTGCCCTAGTTACAGAAACTTTGAAGTCTGAAACAAATTCAGATCTCCCTAGATGGAATTAGAAGAACCCTCTGCTTCTTGATCATATTTAAGAGAATGTGCAACAACTTACCAAAGCCATAATGTCTGAAATCACAAGAACAATGAGGAAAAGGCTGCAAAAAGAAAAAAACCATAAACCAAAATTAAAAAAACAGACCATCGACCTTTATTGATAGCCACAGATGTTACAAAGTTCACTAAAACTCCAGTAGAGAAAATAAGATGAATTCTTGCATTTGCCTTTCAATCACTCAGATACATTTCAATATATTAGAGAACAGTTAAAACATACGACTAGGACATTGGGCATTTGTAATCCCATCCTGCTTGAAAAAAGACATTTCACGTGAACAGATTTTCAATTTTGCCACAGGGAAACCTAACACGAGTCATTTACGTGGGAACAAGAGCATCAGACAAACAGCACCCGCCCAGTCCTGATGCAGGGAGGCCAAACAAAGCTGATCGAGAAGCCTTGAGATGGACCCAAGAGTGAGCAAAGCTGCTGGAATCGGCAGACAGACACCCGAGCTGACCGGTCCTATCCCGACAACCACCCCGCTGGGCAGGAGCCTGCTAAGGAAGGTGCTGGCACCACTTCCAGGTCTCTGGGTGCCCAGAAGCTGCTCTGGGCATGCCCAGCATTTTGGTGCCTTGCTCCCAAACCCACAGGCCTCTCTGCCAGGTGGCAAAGCTACTTGGGAAAGCAGGCTGCGGGCCGCAAAAGAAACCAGAAGGGAGCAGGTAGAGCTGTTTTTCCCCACCATTAACCTCATCTTCTTTTCATTAAACTATGTAAATCCTAAATTGCATGAAAACAATTGCTGTAACTGGTTGAAACTGGTTTCTAAGTTAATGACACTGAAGCAATGTTGCAAACAGCTGACCCATTAACAGAAAGGTCTTTAACTAGAATACAGTTAATTTATCACTACTACCATTATAAACCCACAAAGCTTTTCTAGGGGAAAACATCCTGCTGCAGCTCTGCAGGAGCATGTACTGGGGACACACCCATGGCAACACCTCCTGACAAGGAGGTTTCTGATACTCCCTACGCCAGCTATGTTTCATTAGTAAACAAGGATGCAACAAAGCAACTGTGCCTCAGGCACACTGGAGGGCTTCTCTCCACTCACCTACAGCTCAGATAGGATGCTGCAATCTTGTAGTGCCTAGAAGGGACTCAACTAGGGGGCTGTTTTCACAGGGAAGCTCCAAGAACATGTTCTGACAGAACATTCCCCAGGACCAGCAAAAAAAATTAAACTCTTTAATCTGTAGAGAGGAGAGTTTAGGAGCAATTTGTCCAAACCACAAAAGTCTACTTTTTGCCCTTCTTGAACTGCAGGAAGCCTTTCACAACAGAAGGACACGACTAATTTCAGGGCATGTTTATACACTGCGAAGAAAAGATTGTCCCCTGTGATGGTTTAATTTATCTAGCAGGGGCAGCAAGAGCAATAAAGAGTGCAGTACAGACTTCAGGACGTGCTGACAATCAGAGCACAACCTCTCCAGGGATCCTGGGCATGTCTTGTGGTTTCTGCCTTGCTCCCAGGCTGATGCTGTGGCATCCAGGCAGGTTTTGAATGTCTCCAGAGAAGGAGACTCCACCACCTCCCTGGGCAGCCTGTGCCAGGGCTCTGTTACTCTTACTGAGAAGAAGTTTCTTCTCCAATTCAGGTGGAACCTCTTGTGTTCCAGTTTAAACCCATTACCCCTCGTCCTACCATTGGTTGTCACCGAGAAGAGCCTTGCTGCATCCTCCTGACACTCACCCCTTACATATTTATAAACATTAATTAGGTCACTCCTCAGTCTCCTCTTCTCCAAACTAAAGAGACCCAGCTCCTTCAGCCTTTCCTCATAAGGGAGATGTTCCACTCCCTTCATTATCTTGGCTGCTCTACACCGGACTCTCTCCAGCAGTTCCTTATCCTTCTTAAACTGAGGGGCCCAGAACTGGACACAAGATTCCAGATGTGGCCTCACCAGGCCAGAGAAGAGGGGCAAGAGAACCTCTCTTGACCTACTAACCACCCCCCTTCTAATACACCCCAGGATGCCGTTGGCCTTCCTGGCCACAAGGGCACAGTGCTGGCCCATGGTCATCCTGTTGTCCACCAGGATCCCCAGATCCCTTTCCCCTCCACTGCTCTCTAATAAGTCATTCCCCAACCTATACTGGAACCTGAGGTTGTTCCTACCTAGATGCAGATGTTGGACTGCTCGGTGCCTTTGTTAGTCCCGAGTGGTATCATATAAGAAGACAGGGTGAAAACAAAGAGAAAGGCAGAGGGCATCACGCTGAGCAAGGGCAGCTTCCTCCTCCTCAGCTGAGCAAATGTGCAGGACAAAGTGCCTGCAGCTGACAGCGAGGCTTCTGGTAAACCCCACACAACACCCCACAGCGACAAATTCAAAATCCCTCCCCCACCTCAGCACCATCTATCATCTCTCATGGTGAGCACAGGATTCAGTCATGTGCACCAGGGTCCACTGAAATGGGTAGAGAGGGCTAACACTTAAAAAAAATAAAAATAAATCAATCTTGAGACAGTGAAAAAAGCATGAGGGTACGTCAAGTCTGGATACAGCACTCTGCAAGGCTGGGCACCTGTCTCACATTGTTTTGCAAAAAATCTTAGAAATGCAAAAAGGTCTGGCAGTCATCTAGTCCTACTGCAAAATAAAAAAAAAAGAAGTAATACTGAACACACCTGGGAAGCACTGAACTGCAATGGAAGGGCATCTAGTTTTTTTTTTTCTTCAATGCTATCTGTGGTGAGGTCAGTGCTACAAAGCTATAAATTGGTTACATTAAAAATAGATTATTTTTCAAAAATACTATAGGCAGAGATGCTAGATAAAACAAAAAAATCAGACTTTAAAGTCTGCTTATTTTTCTACATTATTAGGGAAAAAGCGCTCCTTCTTTGTATTGTCAGCAAAAACTATCAAATACCTGATTGTTTAAGACAGGGACAACACTTCCATTTATACTCATTTATCACTAACAGAAGAATTCCTGAGCTTGCAAAAACTACTAAACAAAAATCCAAACCACAAAAACAAGTAAAAGTGACAATGTGATTTAGTGGTTATTATAAATTTAGATTGAGATTTGACAATTCTGAATTCTTGCAAAATAGATTAGAAACTCTTACTAACACATATAGCACTTAGACTATAGAAATATAGCACTTAGAATATAGAAATATAGCACTTACTGTACCTCTTAGAAGATAGTTGTGCTGTGACTTGAACAGCTTCGAAAGCACATGATACCAGAACAAATGGGATTACAACCTGTTGAAAACACAAGCTACATTTTCATTTACAGCCATATTTACAAAACGACCTGACAGGTTGTGGAAACATGTTCCTGCTTTTGAAATTATCACAGAATGTGTATGTTACAAAAATAAAATATTGGCAAGAAAGAGTAGAAACTCATTTTGCAGGAAGCACGTGTAGTAAACGAACAGAAAACCCCTTCCTGGAACTGCAGTGAAACAAGCCCTGAGTCACATGGAAAACTATAATTAAAACACATTAATGATCCTCTCTTCATTTATCCATTTTAGCACTAGTATCCTAGTGCTAAATACTTCAATGAAGGTAGTAGACAGAACTATTCAGACCCAATATCCCACGTGACTGGCAGCAGAGATGCAAACGTAAAAGGACAGTTCATCTCAGCCACAGAAAAAGCTGAATATAGAACATATTCAGTAAGGCAAGGCTCACACTGCCCCTTCACCACCAAGCCAGGCACATGGAAACACTTCAGTGAATAAAGAACGAAACAAACAGGTCAGAAACATCAATGTTGCCTTTTGCCCTTTCCGAGTTGGCTTGTAATCCTTCAGTAAATAGTGTAAACGCATTGCTAAAACCTGTCCTCTTGCACACAGAAAAGTTTGCATTGCTGGCTTACGTCCTGCAGTGCAACACACAGTACACCTATAACCTAAGTCTGCTTTCTCTGGGACAGAAGCAGCAGAAAGGCAGAGGCAGGAAATACTGTGTTTTAAAAATAACTAATAAATTACATGTCTCCCTTCCTTTCTTTACTCCTCCCCGGCAGTTCCCTTACTCAAATATTAGGGAAGAGCCCTCACATCTTGCCTGCAAACAAGAAATGCAATTCAATCTTTGAGAGGCTATTAAATAATATAAAAAATAATTGTAAATTGACAATCTAAATCAGTAGAGCATTCAAAGCCTATATTTAATGTTATGTAGATAAAGCTAATAAAAATATATATCCTCAATGTTTCTGAAGATACTATACTACACTACAAGGAAAGCTTATGTATTTTTAAATAATTTAAGTGTTTTCAAAATTTTAAATTTCTGTTTTCTTACAACAAACCCATCTAATGCAGTTAAATTATACTTCCATGCACTTTAGCTTCTCTCTTTTGGGAAACAGAAGGATCCGTCTCTAGAAACATCACGAAGGATGAAAGCTTCACAGATGGTTAAGAAGGCTAATGGAGCTCAGACATGTGTACAGATTTTTGTAAATGGCAAAGTACCAACCATGTACGTGATGTGTTATGTACCAAATAGTTCTTTGAGACAATTTCACTATGGTAAGATTACTAACCTTCAGCATAAGCAAGCCTCCCATTATGAAAGGACTGAACAAAGTCAAGAAACAATAGACAGAGGCAGGATCAAAACTAGAGAAACATAAAAAAAGACGTTACAATGTATCTTTGAAATGGCATTTTCCAATTAAAAAACCAGCATTTAGTTACCCCTGTAATACATTGTGTGCTTAGACGTTTTTAAACTAGGCTTCCAACTTTCTCTTTTCTTGCTCAAATATTAAATTAGTAAGGACTGCCTGCCTTGTTTTTCTTTCTCCACAATTTTTCTCCGCTTGTGTCTATCAGGGTGCCATGCTGCTGGCGAGCAGCTGAGCTCTCTCTGCTCATGCTGCCAATAACTTCTAATGGAAACTAAGATGACCTCATAACCAACAAGCTCAGGCTCTTAGAGAACATGTTACAGAGAGCAGAAATGAAAGAAATTGTTATTGTTATACCACTGACTATCGCTTTTATTCTGCTGACCTGATTTTGGTAACCAAATTTATACTTAGTATACAGCAGAAAGAATTTTTTGTACCCTCTGTCTCAGATCAAAGAATATAATTTACCTGTTAACAGAAGCTATATTTCCAGTGCCAAAAAAGGCCGTCACTATGAAGAAAACCTAGATGTATTTAAGGAAAATACACCACAGGCTGCAGTGAAATAAAGCCAGCATTTTCCCCCCTCTTCATTCCAATTTACTTTCAAAATCTTATCATGATACTACAAGCAGCTGACCCGCTCTTACAGCTTTATACCGCATTAAGAAATTCAAAATATTGTCTACCTCTACCCAAGATTTCACACATGACAATGTCAATTTTAAAAGATGGGACTGCCTGCATAAGATTTTATAGCCTGTCTTGAGGTCTCTGCCAGAAAGCCGCAGTTTGTGTTTTCTGGGCCCTACCCAGCAAGGTAGGAACACCCCTGGACCACAACCTCAGCTTTGCATTCAAAGACACGTGCTTTTGCAAGAAGTAATGACCTATGTGTGTGTACTGCCCACCAAACGAGATGCCTTTACTGAGGAATTGACCGTGCAAGAGGTAGTTGGCTACGAAACAAGACTAAAGGTTCCTGTGCTATTCCTCTCCTAGGCTTGATGCCCAAAAGTTAGGCTGAGTCTATCCACTGCAACACGGGACTCCCAGTCCTCAAGTTTCTTTAGAAACCTTACCCTTTTCGACTAGGTACAACATTTGCTGCTATACGAAACTATGAAAGGTATTTTTCTACCTCCTGAGTGAATTGGGACCCATTATAGCTCACCTCTCTTCAGTTTGAGAAGAGTTTTTAACTGTTTTTCTGCATCAGGCAGAGCATTAGCCAGTGATGATGACTGCTGCTGCCAGAGCTCCCTCTGGTCTTTCCATGCCTGCTATAGCTCCTGCACTGGATCATTTAAGTCTCTGCAGACACAATTTGCTACCAAACGTCCAGCAGAATCATTGGGGTTCTGCATGCAATACTTTGGCAGGACTAGGTCAGCATAAGTAAAGAAATTACGCTTCCCAAGAGCATCACATCATTTCAAGTTTAGTAACACAGCAGCCTAACAGCATAGCACAGTTCTGCCAGTTAAGATTTATAAGAACAACAGTTCTGCAATAAACTGTAAAAATACCAGTAGCACATAGGTCTAATCAAAATGCTAAGCATAAAAAAATCTGATTCCTCTTCTGGAAGATCAGGCTATGAGGTCCTTCAGCACATGGGCCCTATATAGGAATCACAAGACAATCTTAAGATGTACAGCTCACAGGGTCATATTTGCAGCGTGACTGCTCCAGTAGAAAAAGTTTCCAAAATCACCATTATTAAATGTGAAACAGCATGTAAATTAAAAAGAACACAATATCTTTTTGAGAGGGTGTGTATCATACCTGGTCTCTGCAAAGAGACAAAAAAAGTAGCTTATTTTTGTTAAAATAGCAAAAAGAGCTACTGAATTCAATAAATTTACTGCAAGGGGGAGGGGTCTCAGCTGCTTTTAAGGTATACTCTAAAGCAAACACAAACATTCAACATCTAGAAAATTGTTTTGCCTCCTTACTTAGTGCTCAATTGCCTTCTTAATGAGGTCAAACTGTCAAACTGCCTCCACTGCAGGTTCCCAATATCCAGCAGCGTTGTCCCAAATTCCAGCAGCACAGACTCTGTGACTGTGATCCACCCTCTCAGACCTGGTTATTCTACAAACTATAAAGTCTTTTTTTGCAGGAACAACTCCCTCCCCAGCTCGAGCTACAAAAACTCACCTGCACTAGAAACTCGTATTTTCTAGACTGGCTCATAATTTCTCTCCCACTTGCACACCCATCACCCTTGCTGCCAAATAGCTCTCACTTAACTGCATTCCCATGATGGAAGAGAAAAATGACATTATCAAGCCTGTACAGTATTGAAAATAAATCTGTAGTTTCCCTTACAGTAATGCAAAATAACTGGTGTGTTACTGAGCAAACAGCTCTTCCCTCCCAAGCCCAGGTAATTTCTAAAGGCAGTACTACATGTGATATAAATAACTCTATCCCAGATTTTGGGAACACATCTGCAAGAACTTTCTTTCTTATCTACCTGGCCATGGTCAATGCCTGTCCACTAACATTTTCTTCCTAACACACTGCCATACTGTAAAAATGAGAAAATGAGAATAACTTTAATGTCACCTTTTCCAACTGATTTGTGAAGGTTGAATGAGTTCCCTCCAGCCTAAATGTAATAAAATCCAACTGAAAACAGAACTTCTTGGAAGACAGTTTACCTCAACTGCACTGGTCATATGAGACCAAACTTTCTAACGTGGCCAGGGAGCCAGATTCCAAAACAGTGCAGTTCATGCTGTACTTTTTACTACTTTATCAAAAACATAATGTGTCCTTTGAGCAATGTCAGTCAACCCATCTTCACCAGTTTCTGTTTCCAGTGGCTACCAGGCTACAAATATTGATTGCAGTGCCTTTTGAAACAACTGGCAAAAGGATACGAAGAAGAAAGACCTGCGGACGTCATCTAGGTGAAGCTGTCGAAACTGAGTTATATCAGTAGCATAGGCAAAGTCGAAACCTGCAAGCTGGAAAAAGAGTGGAAGAAATCAATACTGAATATCAACTGAAGTACTTTGATAGAACCACCATGTTTTTACTGCAATGAATGAGAAATAAACTTCCCTATCAGCTCTTATTAGAGTATCCCCATATTTTCGGTACAGTTTAATGAATCTGCCAGAAAGCTGGTACAAGTGAGATGATTAAATGAACAGTGGAGCTTCCGCTGTTATCTACACTAAAAATGAACTTCTAGGCCTTAGACTTATTCTCTTTTTTAATCATAAATGTTCGTCCTACACATACGTCCTTCCACTGCTCACATGAGCATGTGGATAAAGAACCACCGAAATAAAAGACTGCAACTATCCTCAGTTGACTTATGTTGTGAGTGGGAATACTAAAATATTCTACATCTCCCTCACTCAGTTCTCAGCACAATGTCACTTGATCTGAAGAGAAATTGTCTTCACAGATTTTAAGAGGTCGATGAACATCTTTTCCTTGGGGAAAAGAAAAAATTCAAGTAGCAGACATTCAACACTGACATTTTAATTGAAAATAATAATCAGAGAACTATCATGGAGTCTCTAACACAAGATTTACTTTGTGGCATAGATTAACAGACATTCTAGAATTGATTTTCCTAACCGAAAAACGGGAAGCAGGGCTAAGCATTGTTGTTCCTTTCACTTGAAACCAAAAGTGAAATGACATACAGGGAGTGAAAAAAGAAAATCTAATTACAGCTTACTTATGTTGTTTTCATTTCTATTTGATTAATCGAGTGTTCTTCACCATTTAATAGCTCTTTAATAGATTTTTATTTTAAGAGAAACGCAGCATCAGACCATCATCAAACAGGCAAGCATCAGAGATGCCTTGTTACAAGATGCAAGAAGTAGAGGGGGTTCCAGAGTGGAAGAAAAAACATATCCCACAGAAGACTCTGCTGTGCTAAAAATCTCCAGCTGCAATCACAGCCTCATGCTAAGTGTACATTTTTACATTTAGATTTCTTGTCTATCACTTAAGATGCCACAAAACATGTTCACACACAACATCACAACTATACAAGCAATTAATTTGGGAATTGGTAAAGCCTGTTGTCTCAAGCTTTAAAGCTGTCTCCCACACCACAACGTGTGTTAGGTTGGCCCTAGGGACTGCCTTGGCTCAGATTTCACCTTCCAGCACTTCTCCCTAATTATCAGGAGCTGCAAAAGGAAGGAAAGACGTGTACCACCATTTCTCTTACAAGAGGCTGTGGCCACTCCCATGGATCTGTACCCAGGTTCTCCATGACCTGCACCAAGGCCACCACGTGTGGCAGAAGCCGGGGACTGGCTGTGCACCTGCCTGGTCTGGGCAGCCAGAGGGCTCAGTGACCAGCGCTGCAGATCTAACCAAACCCATGGCACAGACACAGCTTGTTAAACCCCTGACCTAATGTAAAAGCTAGGGAGCAGTGCAAGCAACATGGGCTTTGAAAATTGCCAACAATATACTAAATTTTAAGGTGAAACAAGTTGCATTGGTTTAAAAACTCCCTCCCTAGGCAAATCTTAGAAGGTATTAATTTCAAATTACTCTCCAGCTCCTTGGCTTTCTAACCAGAAGTAAAACTCCATCCTTGAAGAAAGAGTGGAAGGACAAAGTCAGACTAAGATTTCTGGTATTTCCTATGGGTCATTTCAGAAACTGAATTATTTCTTTTCAGCCTCTCACCTGCGACTCTACCGTTGGAATAAAAAAGTACTGTGTCACTGTACTTGGAAGAGCTACTGTACCTTATGTTGAATTAGCACTACACTTGATGAAGTTTTGCAGCCTACCGAACACAGTGCTAAAGTCAAACTGATTTCCTGCATTACTAGAAATGTCTCTGATTTAGAGTATCTTCAATAACATAAATGACAAATGTCTCTTAAAAGGTCACATATCTATTTCATAAAACAGCTGATACTGGCTTCTCAAAGAAATGCAAAGTATTGCTCTATGAAAACTGCTCGGCATATTTATTATTATCTTCAAGGAAATGAAACAAGATGAAGGAGATAATTAACCTGATACAGCTATCTGGAGCTGTTACCTTTGGTTTGAGTGAAAGGCCATAGTGCTGCAGTGCTTCTTGCTCCATGTTTATCCACACAAACATCAAACCAGATAGCACCAGTGGAAACAGAGCTTCGTACCTGAAGAGTAACATAAGAATCATAGTAACTGTAGTCACTAATAACTATTAACATCAAGTACTGATACGTTGCTTTACGTTTTTCTTCACACAAATGATATACCAAAGACCTAGTGGCATTCTTCCCCTTCTCTCCCCACTTCTGAGGAGCACCCACAGTTAACTGGCTGAAGGTTAAAGCCATACAGCAATTAAATAGCAGAAGTAAGAGAAACAGAGGCTGCTTCAGCTTTGTCATATTTTGCACCCATTTGATGGCTGCTACTATACTGGATTGCTGCCCTTTGTGTCATGACTAATTTTAAGAAAACTGGAATAAAATTAAAAAGAAACAGGAAAGAAAGAATCAAAATTAGCTCCCATTTTCTTCAAATTGGAAAATTTTGTATTGAGAGCTCTTTGGAACTGAGGGGTTATAGTCCAACCTAGACAGTGGCTAGAGTTTGTGTCTCTTTACGTCCTAATCACGCAAACTCATCCTGGTAACTGCAGTCTAGTTCCAAGGAGAGAGGCATCTATATAATGAAAAGAGCACTAATTTGACTTAAGTAAAATGTTTCTTTACTATTCACCAATCCATCACAACAGTGGCAGCAAGTCATGTCTCTACAGCCAGTAAGATGTTTTAGCCACACCTCTAATCTTGGTGGAGTACTGCTGGCTCCTAGCACACTTAAAATGTAGCAAAATATAAGCATATTTACACGAGAGATTAAAACCTCAAATAGCTTAGAGGTGTAGATTGCCATTGGATAACATTCATTCCTCCTTGCCCTCTATGTCTCAATTGCACTTCATGGTGCCCCTCAGTTTTGGTTTTTTGCTTTTTTTTCAGGATAAAATTATAATACTGGCACTGAATGCAACTCTGATACTGAAAAGATTGTAGTTTTTTTTCCTTTTTATTTTACTCCTCCTTGGACACACACTTATTCGTCTATGAATAAGAAAATTATTGCAGTTCATCTCGGTCTTGTTTCCTTTGTGCCTCCCCACTCGTGTAGCTGTGTGGCTGTTTCAAACTGGAATAAAACATTTCGTATAGACATTTCTGGTTTAATTATCGGAATGATAAGCAGTTAAACATGAGGACAACAAAAGTTGGGTTGCCAGTAACAAAAATCCCTACAATCCTCACAATGGTCTAGACTTGCCTACAAATTGAATGTCTTCAACTGAGTCAATGACACCCGGTTGTACACAATCATGTTTTAGAAGAATTGTGCCAAATTTTTTTGGTCTATTTGAACATTGCAGAAAGGCAGCAGAGAGCTGCCAGCATGTAAGTGGTCCGGTGCAGAAACAAAATACAGAGGGAGGGTTACCAGCCTCAGAGAGAATAACATTCATGCTTTATCCAGTAGCTAAGACAGGCTAAGAAGGTTGAGTGTAAGAGTGAGTGTGTGTGTGTGTGTGTGTGCAGAAAGCAGTAAGATTAGATCAAAATCTTAATGGGGAAGTGGGAGGAAAGAGGGGGCAGGAGATGTTTAAAAAGAAAAAAGAGATACTTCATCTAAAATGAGAGTATCCACAAGAGGCAGCTACTGCAAAATATCTGCTGCAAGATACTTTATTCCACTTAATTTTCCAGTGTAATTAAATCCAGAGGATAAGTGGGAGTGGAGGCGGAAAGAATGGTTCCAATACTTCCCATTAATTATGCTCTTAAGAGCTACTGAGTTGGGGAAAAAAAGGGGTTAGCTAACACAGTGTTTCCTTCATTTACAAGCTCTGAGGAGCTGCCTTTTTATCCAAAAAGAACAAGCCCTACTCTATATGGGGACTAGTACCTCTCTGAAAAAAACGACTTCCATGAAAATCTTTCTGAATAAAATTTTTCCTCATTTTAGGGCTACCTTTGCACACCAAAGCCATAACTAGACACCACTGCTGAGCAGCTGGGAGAGAGGCTATTTCCTTTTGTTTGCTACTAAAGGCCACGCCAAAACAACAAGACAAACTAAAGGAGACTTGCTTATTTTGGTGCAAGACTGTTTGAATACAAACCCTTATAGCCACTGCTTGGTCTAGCTGAAAGGAATGTCAACAAAACAGTATTTATAAAACAATAATGAAGTTCCCCTGAAATTTTATTTCGGAAACTAAACAAGGAGATAAAAGGTGAGACTACAGCTGGCAGCACACATTACACCTTGAACAGAAATGTTCATGAGATTCAGCAGTTTCACATTTAGCCCTTGATTTTCACATGTAAAACCAATCCGAGTGGATTAACTAGGAAGTACCCTGTGCTGAGGAGCAGGTAGGTAGACATCAGGGAGAGCAATATGCTGAACAGTCGCTGGAAGAGAAATGTGGGGCTCAGTAATGGCATCACCAAAGAAGAAACTGCCAAAAAGAAAAGAAAGAGAGATCTGTCATCACTATATGCAAAACATCCTCATTAACAAGATTCCTTAAGTCTTGACATTTTACATACAGAAATTAAATACTGGTCATATATGCCCTTCTATTTTCAGAAGTTACTTTTGCTAAAGAAAACCTTGTGTTTGGAATACTTAATTTTTATCACGAGTAATTTTAGTTCTCTATCATTGTAATTCCCTGGCTTTCTACCTCACCACCTTTATATTTTCTCACAAACTGATGTTAACAAGTCCTTACGATGATGCAGAAGCACTACCCCAAAAAAACAGTCAAACTTGGCTGTTTAATACACAGATACAGAAACTACCAACTTATTAGCTTCTCTGCTTGAGTTTTAAACCAGGAATATTTAAGGAACTCCAGGAGACACCTCTGTCATGATTCATGCTCTTGCCTTCAACTTGCAATGTATTTCTCTCATGCAGGTGTGGGATCTCTCCTTAGAGCAGTCCATTGCTCAACTGCCCAGTCAGCCCTGGTGAGCAGAGTTCATGCTGCCCCCAGAGAGACTTATCCTGCTGGGAAACTTCTGCAGGTGAGGACAGGGAGAAACAGTATGCAGGAGGTGAAGAAAATTGGGAAGAGAAGAAATGGGGAAGAGTGAGTAAAGAGGAAGAAAAGCAGAGGAAAGGTGGCCACCGCTTGAAGCAAGGAAAGGGATAAGGAGAAGCATTGCTGCAATACAATCTTTAAACCTATTTTTTTTTACATGAAAATTTTATGTGTTTGTAAAGAAGTGCGCTGATAAATAACACTGGAGTGATTCTTCATTGTGGTATAGTGACCTCACATTACTAAATCATTCAAAGACTACATCAACAGTAAGTCATAATTAATAATCACCCTATTAAGGAACACAAAACTACAGTATACGGAAAGTGCATGCTTGCACTTACTGCCATAGTAGACATTAGTATTTATAATAAACATAACAATGAATGAAAAATGAGGCTATTTCTAAAACCCATGGGTCAGTATGTTTTATTTCCTGGCTTTCAGCCTTGGGCACTGCTACAACTACAGAATGCAAGGGTGCTCCAGCCTTTCAGCATCACTTGTAGCGTTCTGTACTTTAAGAAGGCCTGACTCAAGGAGGAAGTCCAGGGACCTCACCGCAACTCAGAACGGCCAGAAGGAAATTCAGCTTGGCAACTGGCCTCTGTGAATGACGCTCAACACTTGAGAACTGCATACAATCACAGATGAGAACAGATGAAGGGCCTGTAGGTGGTAATTAGCCTTTCCCTTGCATCTCTGACAGAACACATCAGATATTAGCCATCAAAAGATGTTCAGGTTTCTGGCTGACCTGTACAAATCTCTGTATGTGTCCCCCACACAGAGTTGTGACACCAAATTCCTCAATATGTGGCAAGTTGCTATGATACGTTTTCCACTGATGAAAACTTTAAAACATAATATACACTGATTTAGAAATGACTGCTAACATAAAGATGATTACAAAGAATATGGGAAAGAGCTGGATTAACTTTATGCCTCCTGGCTTTACTTCTGTTTGTGGATAATAAAGTCAGCTTGGCACAGGCCTGCAAAACCCCACCCATCACTATTTCATTTGCCTGGTTCTCCAAAATCCAGTCTGTATTGAAAAAAAACCCAATTTCAGGTCCACATGAAAACTTTAAATAAGGCAGGCTTCGTATTAACCAGAATGAATAGTTGAGGAGCTTCAGAACTCTCATTATCATATTGATGTGATAATAATACCCAGATCAGTATGACTGTTAACAAATACTGATAACAGTGTTTCTGGCTATACAAATACACAAAGAGGTACAAAATGACAGTTCAGGAACTAACAGTGCCATTTTCCCTCAGCTAAGTAAAAGGATGAAGAGGAGTCTGATCATCTGTGATGCTACCAACCTTGGAAAAGCTACAGCAGACCCCAGCACCTTAATTCTTACAGTGCCACATTTGTGACACACACTAGTGACACGGCAGATGATAGCTGCGGTTATGGTGGTGACAAGGCATTTACCTCCAACAGGAATATTGAGGACATATTGTTGGATGCCTTAGCATTTTACCTGTTTAGTTGTGTGTTTAATTATGTAGAGCAACTTCAGTAAGCATACAAAACTCCTACCTTGTATATCACATTCACATATTACTTTCAGTCAGGCTTGGCTAAAATATTCAACACCCTGGCAGCAAGGAGACTTTTTAGGTACATGCAGTGATATTTAGAAATATCACCCACAGCAAAGAGAATTTCTAATATACTTTTTCCTCACAACTCTAGACCTCTCTGACTGCCCAAATTACCTCTTAGGTGAAAGATGGTTTCCTGTCACCCTTGCACGGGAGAGAAAGATAACCTTTATCCTCAATTCTTGTTCCAGTAAGCCAAGCAGGACATCATTGATTTCCTTGTCTTTACAACTGCAAGGAACTAATCCACAGAGATCTCCACTTAGCTTAGCAGGCTACAAAGAGTTAGGAAAGCATGATGGAAAGGAAAATGCCCCAAAGAAAACAGCATTGCTTACACATGCACTGATCACAAGCAGTTTAGCAGGATTGCTAAAACTGACAATATCTCCTGAAGTTAAAACAATGCCACCAGTACACCCAGCAACTAGATAACAAGAGTCGTAATTATTCCATTAAGCTATGTTTAGATTCCTGGTCTTGACTTTAGGCAAAGAGCAGGGATAAAACTTCGCATGGGATACGTTTAGCTCTAGAACAAACCCCACGTTCCAGATCACTTAGGGATAAACAATGATAAACTTTCCTAATGGAGCCCTATAGACATTATTTTATAGCTGAAAGATGAAAGGTGTTGCTTTACTGTATTCCATAACCCCACTGATAATTACATTTGCTCTGTTTAATCATCCTAAGATTTTAATTTTAGAGTGGTGAAAAATCCATAGACTCGTAAATTGGGGTTTTTTCTTTAATAATTAGGTTCTAACAGTTATCAAATATACATTAGCATCATTAGTTCACAGGTATTTTGCAAGGCGGCTCTGAAAAGTACTTCCATAGCCCAAAGGGTCTCTGCCATCAGATGCAAATGAGCTTCTTAGTGAAATACAGCAACAATCTTTCCTGACTTCCCTGTGCCTAACTGGACTGCTTGCATAACATCTCAGATCACCCCTATCTGGGTCCAAATGAAACAAAAAGGGAATTTATACCATTATACCCCTAAAAGGGGTCTTCAAGATATTCAGAAAATTCAAACCAAAAGATAAAGCTACTTGTAAGTCAAAGTTGTTTGCATTTTATTATAAACCTATGAAGGAGTAATATTTTAAAGCCTTTCTAACACATTCCTCAAAAGAACCTCACTTATGAACAGTGAACACATGGAAGAACTGTCAGGAGTCAAATGAAGGAATATATGCAAAAGTAAGGTGTTAATAAAATGTGCCGCTGTCCCCCACCCAATATCAAACCCCGCAAACTCTGATATACATGTTTGGGAGGGAAGGTGTTCTTACCTAGAGTCATCCAGCTAACAATTTGATTCAACAAAGGCAATCCCTGTTTGTTCTTAAGACTGTCATGGGTACTGCTCACCACATATGTTGACAGTGCAACACTCAACATCTGGAAGGAAGAAATCAGCCAATGAAACACATCATTAACATATGGATCTCTGCGACTCCATACTAAATATGTACATACGGTTTAGAGTTGCATAAACACCTCACTTGAATCAACATAAGAACTGAAGTCTGATATGCATTGTTGAGTATTTCTAGCTTTTTACAATTTACTCTTTTAAAAACTCCCTTCTATTTTTTTTTTTAAATTCTTCTTATTATTTGGGTCATTTTAAAATAGTTCAAACAACTGCACTAGATGACTGATTTGACACAGTAAGCTCTTTATCGAGAGTAACTACTTAAATACTCCTGTAAATCACAGAAAACACACGACCCCAGTTTTTTGAGGAGCACTTGTCCTCAAACACCAGCCACGAAGAACTAGCAGAACCTCTGGCTTTGCTGCAGGATCAGGTACAGGGTGACAGGGAAAGCTAGCTAAGGCAAGAGCTTTGCATGGGCAGCACAACTCCTGTAAGAAGCGACAGCAGCGGTAGAGGAGATTGGAGGTAGATTTTAAGAAATGGAAAGAAGCTGCAATCTTAGCAGAGCATTCAAATGAAATTGAGCCACCTCAAGGAGAGCCCTCTGCCTCTGAGAAGCAGTGAAGCTGAAGACAGTTTGTTTTTTTTTTCTAGATAAATTCAAGAGACACCATTCACTCATCAAGGAGGTGTAAAAAACCTTAGGAAAATTACCCCATGAGTCAGTTATTTTTGAAAGTGACAATTATCCAAGGAAATGCTTGAGCCAAGTTTTCAATTACTGTTATTTATTCACAGCTCTGCAGATCCACTAAGAGGTAAATCAAGCATGCACAGCACTTTGCAAACACGTGCTTTAAAACTGCATTGCAAGATATAACTGCTGTTGTGCCTTTTTTTTAGTGCAAAGCAACTACACAGTGTTCACATCAGTCTCTTTTTACCATATGAATAGCTGCCATTGCCTTGACAGTAATACCTAGTGGTACCTGCCCAGACGACAGATGTAGCAGTCAGCATCCTTTTTTTTGGAACCATTTCACAGGTGCTCAGTATCTGCTGCTTCTCTCTAATTTCAGGCCACAAGAACATCTGACTTGCATTTTGCTGTGACATCAGTAAGCTAGGTCAAAGCATTAAGCCTCCAAAAACTCAAGGAATTGGCCCTTTTAGACCTCTGATGTTTTTTTCGGGATGTTTTTGAGTTATTCAGGCCAGTTCTCTCCCTTTCAATAGAACTTTTCTACTTCTTTCAGTATCACGAGCTCTAAATCTAAAATCCCTTTGCTACCTGCTAGCCACTAGGGAAGTCACTTTGCACTCACTTTGTGTCATCTCCCATAATGTAACTTATGGCTTGGAAGACAACTGATGACCTGGGCACAACAGTAAATGCAACTTACTGCTGCTGGATCTACACCAGTGTCTCAGGAAGGGCTCAGCAACTGCTTTTGAGCGTTTGCAGTGCAAGGCATATTCAAACTCCTCTCAGCTTTCACCAACATCTCCGGGACTGTGGAACAATGCAGAAGAAATGCAGAGATGCAAATTGAGGTCTTCAGCTAAGAATAATCTGTCTTCTTTCCCCCTTCACAACTTTCGCTGAAGTTCAGAGATTATTCTTCAACAGTTTAAGAGTCGGCCTCTGAGAAACACTCATCCACAGATCACAGCTAAAAAGAGGAACCAGCTCTGGCAGGGAGCTCTCTGAAGTACGTACTATGGTAACAGCTTTTAGAGAGAATGGTAGGAGATCCAGCATCATCAGCCAGGCACTACAAAAGGCCAGCTGAAAACACTCCTCCTGTCCCCTAGTTCCATCAATAGGGTATGGATTCTCACTGTTTATTACTCCTTTTAATTTAGAGGAGAAAACTAATAAAATTGACTACCTTGGACCCACATGAAGTTCAAGCTTCTTTAGAATAATAAATTAACCCAACATTATCAATGAATGGAAACAACAGTGGTTTTGGTGGTGCAGCAAAAACTGGACTTCACCTATGAATCTGTTGGCAAAGAGAAACCGTTATTCTTTCCTGAAATAAAAAATTTAAGTTGTACAGCAAGCACTGCAGCAGTTTAGCTGATGGGTTATAACTAACTCCTGTTTTCATCATTCTTGCAGCCTTAATGACTTCTCAAAGATCATAGAATCATTTAGGTTAGAAAAGGCCTTTAAGATCTTGAAGTACAACTGTAAATCTAACACTGCCAAGTCCACCACTAAACCATGTTCAATGCTTGACAATCCTTTCTGTGAAGAATTTTTTCTTAATATTCAATCTAATCCTCCCCTGGTGAAACTTGAGACGATTTCCTCTAATCCTATTGCTTGTTACTTGGGAAAAGAGACCAACTCCCACCTTGACAGAAGTAGCATTAAACAAAAGAATTCTTTTCCTTGTCATAGCAAACAAAATTCAGGAAAAAAATGTTATTCCTGCTTTAATGATACCAAGAGAAAAACTGAGAGGCTCTTGGCAATATCCAGAAACTGTGAGGATGCAATTACTATCTTTGTCTCAAAGAGTGACATGCAACAAAACTTCAAAATTGTATCTAAACATAACTGAAATTTTTGTAACAGAAATGCAAAGGTAACCAAATGAAGATACTCAAATTTGCATTTTTACTTTAAGAAATTCCTTTATTTATACACTTTTCCTGGAAAATCTTTCCGATCATGCTGTTTGGTCGTCTGGTACTTTTGTTTCTTTAAGGCTAATACCTGTGTTGAAATCTATAGTGTGTAGGTAGAAAAAAAGAGAATGAACGAGTAGCCTGTAAATGATCCATACAGGCATGTAGCTCACGCTTACTTGCTAAGGTGTACACTCTGTCTCATCCATGGAGAAACCAACACAAAAATAGCATAGTTCAGGACCAGATCAGAGGGAATTATCTATTCTGTGGAGCACTACACACAAGTCAGTGACTTTTTTTGCCTTCTCTGATGGTCTATGGCAACTAAGGTTTATGACAAAAAAGAGAGAAATTAATGTAATGGAACAAATTTTGTTCCTTACCAGGCATGATATTTCCACTACAGATTAAATCTCAGATGGAAGAGGAAGCTCCCTTGGACAAGAAAGATGAAAGTTGTCTTCAGAAGAGATAAAAAAAAATATCGTAAGCACAACAAAAGGCCTAGGTTGTGCTGAATCCCTCTCTCTGACTGAAACAGGGAGAGAACTGAAAATGCAAGTGTCTTTATTCAGATGCAATTCCAAAATAACTTGTGAAGAATAACTCAGGCAAGTAAGAACTACCTGAGCCTTTGGGAAATATTATCTTACATCCTGTATGAAACTGCATCTTGTCCCAAATGAGCAGATGCAAAAATTTGAGGAGTAGTGAAATGAAAGATTTAAAAAAGGGGGTTCTTGCACGTAGACAATACCAAAACAAAGAGGAAAAGGATAAAAAATAAATAAAAAAATGAAATCAATCAACCAGCCAACACCAAAAAAAACCCATCCCCAAACAAACCAACAAATCACCCAAAACCAAGTTAGAGGATCCCAAACAGAGAAATTTGGCCAGATCAGTAGGCTTTTTGCCAACAGCAGAAATACAAGAAACATCATCTATTCCTTCTCCATTGTGTAATTTAAAGGCTTTTAGTCAGAGCTGAACCTAGAAAAGATATGAGCAGAGTGGCTAAGGGAATCCCCAAGACAAATGATAAAGAGCATGAGGAAGGGATGCCATATGCTCCCCTCCACTTCAGTCAATACTTGGAGTAAAGCGGTACACAAAGACAGACCTATAGCAGATCTGTCTTATCATTC